TGAACTGGCTGAGTGAAGGAATGTAGAATGTCTTGTGGTGATTCTTCAGGCACTTGCGTCTAATCACATGTGCATCCATTACCCTTTCAGAGTCTCACTTAGGAAATGCAGTATTTATTAGAGGCCACTAAAGGAGAAAATGGAGGTGTGACTTCCAGAGCCAGGGAGTTCAGTTTACCTCCTCTGCTGCATGTTCTATCTGCTGCCTGCTGTGGTGGCTCATAGAGCTCTTGGTACAGCTCTGCTTTAAATTCATCAGTGAAGGGATCAGGGCTAAGAAAATGCCAGTGGTTTGAACCAGCCTGTTAATGTGAAACTCTATCCCCGTTATCTGCCTGTAACTCTGCAAGTGTGCTTGCTGTAGCTCTGTAAAATGCCAACTGAGTGAGTAACAAGGCATTAAAAGTCTTGTACCAGAACAGTTTTGCACCTCAAGAAATGTTCTGTCCAGAACCTCCTGTTGTTACTGTCATCAGTAGTACAAATTACAAGCAGCTCAGTCTGCACTCAAAGGATGGTTCATGTTTTAGGGAAATGAGTGTAAGATGCAAGCTCGTTTCTTAATACAGGTCAGTCTGACCAAGCAGCTCTATCCAGTGTCTCCCAGTCAGGCTGCCCTTGGGCTGCAGGGCAGCCCAGCATGACATGACACTGGGACAGCTGGTTTCTTCAGGAGGGCTGAATCCTGCAAATAAACACCAGCAGGAATAGAGCTGTTTCCTCTGCTTGGTTTTGAATCCGTGGCACAGCTTCTCAGCCCCCTGTGAAGGGCTGAGGACAACAGAAGTGAAAATGGCTTTGTGTGTGATGGAACAGATCCCTAAATTACACGTGATCTAGGGGTACACTTGGGGATTGCAGATTCACAGGAGGTGCAGGGTGAGAGGGGTAAAGCATGAGTGAGTGGATGCCTGTAGCTCCAACAGATCCCAAAAGCTTCAGAGCTCCCATCAGATCACAGCAGCTCCATGAGACCAGGCTCGTGGGGCTCCTCTGTTCACAAAACAAGCCCTTAGGGCCTGAAGCCACCACCTCTTCATGCTGTGCTAAGGGATAATGGTGAGAAGCAATTCTGATGTTACATTTCTGTTGTTAAATTTGAACAAGAATAATTTCCAGGGATGATTGAATGTTCAGAATGGTTTTTGTGGATTTCTGAGGTGTTTTGGAGCTGCAGGAGTGTGGTCATTTCCACTGCCTTCGGTGGAGGCAGCCTTGAAGAACAGCTTCAGAAACCTTCGTTTGGGTTTCTTAGAGAATATTGTAATGTTTCTTCAGATTTATATGCAGTGAAAAACTCAAAAAATGGAAACATTTACAAGTCTAATTTTTTGGCTCATAAATCTGGAATTTCATCGTCAAAGAGCAGTGTCCTTGGGTAAAACCTTAAATACGTGGAAATGTTTGTATCCACACACATCTTTGCTGCCTCTGAAAAGAGATTGCTTCCAGTGCAAGACATGTGCTTGTGCTGGGCTGGACATGTTTAGATTTCCTATATATAATGTGACAGGAGAAAAGCTGCTTTTGATGACAATTTGTATGCTGCTGAGCTCTCATCGTCAGTGCACTGCGAGACAGATCCTTGTCGTGAGATCCTCTGTTGAATATAGAAGACAAGAATGTGGAAACTGTGTTTCTGTAACTTCACTGCCTGCTAAGCAGCGTGGCTCTACACAGACCCCTCAAGTGAGAAGACAGGAAAGCATGTGGCTAGCAAAATAATTAACAAGGGATAAAGGGTCTTGAACTTTCCAGAGTGATACCTGTAGTGTGCAGCCCTATGGCTCTTATAGCCCATCTCTTAAGTATTGTGAGGTAAATTGTGTATCTTCAGCTTGTCTGTTTTCGTTTACACTCCATTTTCATCCTGTTTGTGGGAGGTTTTCTTCCTGCTCCACAAACAGATGTTCTGATCTTCCACTCACAGAGTGATGGATGTTCTCACTGCTGCTTCCACATGCCGTTAATCTGGTGTGCGTCCAGGCCTTGCTGTGTAGATTCCAACTCTTGAAGCACAACCAGTTGCTGTCTTCCCTTCCTGTACTTGTGATCAGTTGCTTTTGAAGGGGACTCCTTGATGTACTTGGTACCATGGAATTGATCATGGAAACAATAGACATAAATACCTTTGAACTTGCCATCAGCTGTGGCTTTGTTCTAGCTGCTTTAGGTGACAAGTTTGATCCCATGGGAAATGGGCAGCACAGAGATATTTTCCATCACTACCACCCCAGGTACCTTGTTTGCTGCCTGGAGTTTTCTAATCCTGCTGTTGGGTAAGTGGGCAGTCTCTGCTACACATGGAGAGGGCTCTGGTGCTCCAGGATGCTTGTTTCCGCTTCCCATTTTACTAATAGCAATGTATTTCCCACCTGCTTGTAGAGTGAGCAGTGATTTACAACCGTCTATGAAAAGCATCATTGTCTTGGTAAGATGCTAAAGGTACAGGTTTAAGACATTGTTGAGTTTATAAGGTCTGTCCTTCATACTCCTGTTAAGTCAAACAGAAACCCTTTACTACCTAAAATCAAGTAGTCCTGCCCTAAATACTTCATGGGAACAGTGTCAGTTGCCTGAATAGGAATACGTGGGAGCACTAGATGCTGTTTCCTAAGAAAAGTTCCCTGCTTTGCTTGCCTTGTTTCAGTGTTCCCATCTGGGGACAGTGGTGTTCGACAGCACCTTTAGTAGCTTCAGTCCTCTGACAAGAAGTGCCAAGAGGTGCTTGGTATCGGGAAAGATCAAGGCTTCACTCGTTAGGGATCACAGAGCTTAAAGAGCCTGGAAAATGGACACAAAGATGGGGCTCTCCAGTTCTGTTCCACTGGTTTCAGCTTAGAAAGAAAAAAGGGTGGTGGGGAATAGTATTCTGCACAGTGTTATTCTGCATCTCACTGGGATAGTTTTCTCCTGCTGTTTCTGGCTGTACAGAATAATTACTCTCTTTTGACAGTTAAATGGGTAGGAGTAACTCCCCAGTATCTTGTAGCCTTGAGCTTGTTGTTGTGTAACATCAGTTCAGGCCACATTTCTTCTTTATAAAGGATGCTGCTTTTGCTCATGCAAGGTGTGCTACCCAGGGTGTGTTGGTACTCAGCTGTAACACAGTGCACATGCTGGACACGCAGGGAGAGTGGCATTGAACATGCAGAGCAGCACCATGAGCCTGCATGGCCGCTGCTCTTGGTGCCCGAGGTGCAGCAGCTCTGTTTGGCACAGGCCTGCAGGGTGCGGGTGGCTCAGCGGTGCCAGGTCTCTGTCAGTCTCTGCAGTGTACGTGCTCTGCCTGGCAATGGGGAAGGAGGAGACAGCGACATGGACTGCACTGCAGCACACTGCAGCACTCCTGGAACAAAGACGTGCTGGGATAACACGGCTTCTGCTGCTGCTGCTGCTGCTGAGGGCTAACAGGGACACAGCTCCATTTCCTCATGGAGCTCAGCCGCTTGCCCAGAGGCTTGGCAATTAACAGGACAACTCAAGTATTAATAAGGGTCTAATAATAAGTAGCAGTGGTTTGGAGTAGGTAGGAAAAGACCCTAGTGAGCTCCCCTCTGAAATGAGGTGAGGCAGGGTGCTGGCTGTGCTCCTTTGTCCCTGGCTCTTGAGCAGTCAGACTGGGATGCTGCGTGACACTGCAGTGGGGCTGGCCAGGAGGGTCTCCTATCAGACCACAGCATCCTCTTGGAGAGAAGGATATCTTCAGCCAGTGGACCTGAGCTGTCTCTTATCAACGGTCTGCAATATGGGTCCTCAGTGCAGTACAGCAGAGAGATTGTCTCTCTAATACCCTCTAGTGAGCTGTGCTTTGCAGAGTGTAGTATACAAGTACTCCTGTAACCTTCCAGGGAGGATTCTGCATGGAATCAGGTCACTCAAAGAAGACTTTCTGGTTTAAAACTTAATCAGTTTGTTCATTTTGATGTGTATGACTGTCAGTGGGCTTTATTCTGTGCTTATCAGTGCTCTGCACCATCACATCAACTCCATGGATGCATGAAACCATGCAGGATGAGGGTTGTCTTTTCCCCACAGTTTCTTATACGTGCACAATAGCAAGGTTCATTAAATGTTCCCTATCCACAAAATCAGGCTGCCCAGCTGTACATGAGCTGCATGAGGCTTGTGGGTCACAATACAGAAGGAGCCCTCTGTGTTTGCAGCCACTTGAGCTGCACTGACTGGCTCTGAACACAAAAGGATTGCTCTACAGTATCAGGTTTAGCAATGTCCCATCTGAATTTCCCTGCTCCACAGTTCAAGCATTCATCACTGTTTTGTAGTGCTAGGTTACAATGGAAGGAGGAGAAAACAACTAATACAGCCTTGAGACAAGGCCCCACAGAGACAAGGGGGCTCAGGAGTTGTACTTTTCAGAATGACGTTAGTGGATTATCAGTACCCATGCTCTGATTTCAGGTACTTCTGTTTCTGGTACTTGACTGAGGCTGTTTCCCAAGAAAGGGAGTCTGTCAGTGCCTTTCTAAAGGCTCCTTTTGCTAAGCACAGAAGGAAGCAGAGGAATCTTTTCCTCCGGGTACCATTCCTGCATGGATTCAGGAGGCAAGGCAGGCTGAATTCAGCACTCTCGTCAAGTAGATTGTCTCTAAAAGGAAGAGTATTTTGCCAGGTATGACCCTGCTGAAGTGCTGTCTGAATGGTTTATACTTGCTTAGGGTTTACTTATGTTCATAAAGAAGTTGAGTTATGCTGGTGCTTTACTGTGTGCCTGCAGCTAGAATCACTGTCTTCTGCCTGCATTTTTCATTTCTCTGCCTGTTTTCTTTAAGGAATTTCTCTGGAATTGCAGTCAAAGGGCTGCTGCAGGAACTTGCAGCACTAGGATGCTGCAGGGCAAGTGTCCCTGTGCATTGCCAAGCAGAGCAAATCTCCTGTGTGACTTCCAGGATAGCTGTTAGTGGCTTCCTGCAGTAGGCTGCCAAAACCTGAGCTTTCTTTCCATGGCAGTATCATCATTCTGGCTTTCTCCAACCTAGATAACCAGTTCAGGATGTCAATATTGGAGCGACTTGAGCAGATGGAGAGGAGAATGGCTGAAATGACAGGCTCCCAGCAGCACAAACAAGGAGTAGGAGGCGGGAGCAATGGGAGCGGGAACGGAGGAACGCAGGTACAGGTACGAACCTTGCTGTGTCCAGACACGGCAGCTTTATGCTTGCTTTGGGGGTTGGTGGTGGTGAGAAGGGCTGTAGTTTTCCCTAAGCAAGCCTGGTTTTGGGTGTCTTTAGGAGCAGTTGGCTTTCACTTGCATCTGCCACTGTCTCAGTACTTCTAGGAGGGCCAGGCTGCCTGCTCCGGGCAGGTTGCGGCTCCCGTCAGTGGTTAAACTGGGATGTGTGTGGTGTTTCAGTGCGTTTCTGGGACTGGGACACTGGGCAGCTGCTTTGAGAGCCGCGTGGTGGTGGTGTGTGAGAAGATGATGAGTCGTGCTTGCTGGGCAAAGTCCAAACACTTGATCCATTCAAAGACCTTCCGAGGAATGACCCTGCTCCACCTCGCTGCTGCCCAGGGCTATGCTACACTGATCCAGACCCTCATCAAATGGCGGTAAGACCCAGCCCATTGGGCTCTGGGGTGTCAGTACAGGCATGGCAGAAGCATGTGTGTGCTCTGCTTGGTGGTACAAACAGCCAAGTCCCTGAACTCGTTCCTGTCCCTTGATCTGATAGGACCTATCTGATGGGACCTATCTGATGGGACAGCAAGTCCAATCACTGGCTGTAGCATGCTCTTAAAGTCTCTGGGGGGGGCACTATCTGTAATAAACGTGTCGTGGACATATGTGTGACCACTTCTGTGTTGTGTGGTGTGCTGGGAAAAGCTGTGCATTTAGGCAATGTTCCTAACATAGCTACAGAGCATCATTTGTTCTGTTGTTTCCTCTGCAGCACCAAACATGCAGACAGCATTGATCTGGAGCTGGAAGTTGACCCTTTGAATGTGGATCATTTCTCCTGCACTCCTCTGGTAAGAGCAGGGACTGAAACTTCTGGGAGAGTCTGAGGACCCTCTGGAGTTCTTCCTGATGTGTTACTTTCCTAATGTGTTTCACACTCTGAAGAGTGGGTGTTTCTTGTGTGTCCTTGCTGTGCAAACGGTAGGACATGGCACTCTCAGCTTCCTGGTATTTTGTTGAGAGAGACCTCTCTGATCTGAGAGACTCCTTTGCATGTGAGGCTGCTCTGTCTTTGCGGGGATGCTAGTGTCCAGCCATGTTATGGTTTTGCTTCTCAGAGGTGTTTTTCCATGAGCTGGGGTCCAGACTCAACTGCCTGAGCGAGAAGGAAGGAGAAGGAAGGCTGCCCAATGGGTCAGTTGTCTTTTCTTTTTCAGATGTGGGCATGTGCCCTGGGCCACATGGATGCAGCTGTGGTGCTGTACAAGTGGGACCGCCGAGCCATCTCTATCCCTGACTCCCTTGGGAGACTGCCACTGGCCATTGCCCGGTCTCGGGGCCACGTGAAGTTGGCAGAGTGCTTGGAGCAGCTACAGAGAGATGAGCAGACTCAGCTTGGGCAAAACCCCAGGATCCAGTGCCCTTCAAGCACAGACTCCAACACAGAAAACTGGGTGTCCCAGTGGCAGAGTGAGCTTATTGCCTCTCAGGAGCCTCAGAAGGGAGTCACTGTGATTTCCAGTACAAACACAGGTAAAACAACGCAGTGGGTAGTATCATCCCTAGGTGATAGTTACCCCCTTTGCACATACTATCTTAGAGCATGGCACAAACCTCTGCCTGTAGCTCTGTGGCAGAAGCTGTTGTAGTTCCTGCAGCAGTCATGGGTTTGCATCTTTCCATTTTGACCATTGATCTGTTTGTTTCCAGAGCTGAGACGACCAAGATCAGAACCTTCCAGTTACTACAGTAGTGAGACTCAGAAAGATTACCCTGCACCCAAAAAGCATAAGTTGAGCCCTGAGTATTTTCAAGCCCGGCAAGAGAAGCTGCTTTCCACTGCGTTGAGCCTGGAACAACCAAGCATCAGGAAGCAGAACTCCAGCTCCAAGCAATCTGCCACTGAGACAATCAGCCCCAGTGAAGGGATAAGGGACTATGGCCGAGAGCTCTCCCAGCACATCCCAGAAGTTACGGGGTACCGGAGCTCTGGCAGCCAATCGGGCATCAAATGGAACCCAAAAGACATTTATATTGGTGTGTCTGCAGTGCAGGTGGCAGGGAGCCAGAAGGGGGCTGTGCTGGGGAAGGACACGGTAACCCATCGGCTACGCCAGCGGGAGCAGATGAACGTGCTGATGATGGCTGACAGGGAGATGGTGGATGCAGAGCTCTTGTCCTATAGGGACAATGCAGGGGATGAGGACTGCTTACACCAAATGGATGACTTGCAGGTAAACATACCCATAACAAGCAGCTCAGCAGACTAAGAGAGCAGTGACTGCACAGAGGAGCCTAAGTGTGAGAAACTCTGGAGGCCTTAAGGGACTTTGTGTTGTGCTTTGTGAAAGGAGGTGCTCAGTGTATGGTTTGTTCCAGTTTCAAAGGGTGTCCTTCCAACATGGACACACGGGTTCATGGCTATCATTTAGGGTCATGCACTGGCATATACTTCAACCATGTACAGAATGCACAGAATTGCAAGGGAATTGCCAGTTCTCTCTCGGCAAAGGAGTGGCAGGCTTGCTTTTCCTTTGGAAACAAGATCGCAGTGGCAGCTGTCAGTGGCATACAGCAAAGGCCCAATGACATAAAGCTTTCACCAGGTCCCTGTGCACTCAAAGGGGTGTGGGGAATAGGAAACCTCTCAGTACTTTGTCAGAAGAGACAGAAAATGAGCTTTAGTTAATGAATTTCCCTCCAGTGCTGAGACAAGCAGTAGACTCCAGCTACCACAAGCTGGGGGGAAATGGGGCAGTCTGAAGCTGGGCTGTAACATGCGAGCTCCTGCTGCCAGGCAGCCAAAGTTTGCTCTCCTCTCCCCCTCCCCAGGTGAACATGATGACACTTGCAGAGCACATTATTGAAGCAACGCCTGACAGGATCAAGCGGGAGAATTTTGTGCCAATGGAGTCACCGCTGGTGGAGAGAACAGACAGTGCTGCCATGAGCACCACAATGAGCTGGCTGGCCAGTTACCTTGCTGATGTCGATCATCTGCCGAGTGCTGCACAGATAAGGTCAGTAAGAGCTGGGGAGTTGCTCTGGGTTTTTGAGTGGACCGAATGCTGGGCAGCATGCCCTGATTCTTTAGCCTGCAGATGCTGGTTCTCGGTGGGACTCGGTGCTGGTGTTCCAAGCCCAGCCACACTCTCATGGTCAAACATAATGCTGCCAGCACAGCCACAAATGGGAGTGCATGCAGCAGGAGGGGCAAGTGGCCACGAGGTCTGACTTGTGACTTCTCTTGAGGTGCCAAGTCTGTGCAGTGCAGCTCAGGAATGTGGGACGTTGCTTGGAGAGAGGGAGGGGAGCATGAGCTTCTACCTTGAGCTCAGAAGTGTTGTAGTCCTTATCTGTGATGCCAGCCCAGGTGCTTTATGAGCCATTAATTCCTGCTGTGATTGGTATTTCAGAAGTCTGTATAGTGAACCCCTGACCCCTTCTTCGAACACCAGCTTGAGCCCTGCAGGCTCACCCATCAGTGAAATAGCTTTTGAGAAACCCAGCCTTCCCTCGGCAGCAGACTGGTCTGAATTCCTGAGTGCATCCACCAGCGAGAAGGTAGAAAATGAGTTTGCACAGTTAACTCTGTCTGATCATGAGCAGAGAGAACTCTATGAAGCTGCCAAACTCGTCCAGACAGTGTTCAGGAAATATAAGGTACGTGGCCAACACATCCAATGTCTTCCTTGTTAGGTGTGAGAGAGTATTTGTAACACATGGGTAATACATCCTTCTGGGACAAAGATAGACTTTCTGTCATCACCTTTTCAGTGATTCTAGCATTTGCTGGTCAATATTTACCCAGCAGCTACCCTACTGGAGAGAGCATGCCATGCCATAGCATGTCTTCCGTGCTGGAACAGCACTCACAAAGTGTCTCTTCAAAATATACTCTATGTATATGGAGAGAAATTGGTTGCTCAGTTGGTGTAAAGCTCCAGTTTCCAGGGTTTGTCCCTAAGTGAATTGATGGTAGAGACATATCCTGGAAGTGCCTAGGCCTGAATGGCACTGATAGGAGAGATTTAAAAGTAGATGCTCTGCAGGATGCTGTGAACCAGTTACCATCGCCTGTCCTGGTTTTCAGTGCACTGTGCTTATTGCTTCTTTCCTTCTTGGCACAGGGTCGTCCTCTTCGGGAACAGCAAGAGGTGGCTGCTGCCGTCATTCAGCGTTGCTACCGAAAATACAAACAGGTAATGAAAGAAGTGAAATGTTAGGAAACACATGTAAGTGCCATGGACACAGCCCTTTGTAATGGGAATTATCCCACTGTTCCTCCCAGCATGCTGTAATGAAATAGCCTGCTCAGGCACAACTGAAAAGGAAGGAAAATTCATGTCCTGAGTCTTAATTTTGGAGGGAATCCTTAAAAGTATTTTGTGTTGATGCCTGCATTTTTGCTGAGACAAGAGGGCAGTGATGTTTTCCATATTGGCCTTTATGCATGCTATAACCTGGTGAGACTATTCTCTGACTAGTTGCTTGCCAAATTTCATTGTGAAATTGAAGTTGGTTTTGCCTTTGCTAAAGGTGAAGATGAAAACTAGGTTGTTTTAGTTTGCACATCCTAAACTTTTAACCTATGGGAAGTCCCGTGTTGTAGCTTGATGTGAGTTGTTCCAGGACTGAGGCTGTTCTCCAGGCTCTAGTTGGAGACACGCTTTTAGGCTGAGTTCTCAACCCCAGAAAAAGAAGATACCTTTTTGTTTCTCTGGTTGGGTTTTGGTTGGTTGGGACAGGGGCTGGAGCCCACATCCCTCTTTTCACTGTACCTTGCTAGACTCAGGCTGTCTGATGCCAGGCAGCATGCTATGTAAAATAAAAGGCACGATGCCTATGCTCTTTCATTACCTTTGGGAAGCTTTTCTAGTGTTAGGCGACTGCATCATGATTCACATTCAACCTATCACATGGCTGTCATTCTGGAGTGAAGCTTCCTGTAATAGGGAAGCTTAATTCCTTTCCAAAACTGCTTGACAGTCTGCTTTGTCCTGGATCCTGGAATCGCTTCTTTTAGAAAGAAGATGGTTTGGGGTTTTAGTTTTTCATTCTTTATTTGCAGAACTAACATTAACTGTGTATTTTTCTGTTTCTTCCTAAGCTTACTTGGATAGCCTTGAAGGTAATACAAATACAAACACTATTTTGGAAACGATTCCCTGTGGGTCACTAAGTTTCACATTCAGTATAAACCAGGAGAACCTGGCATTTAGTGCAATGTTTTAATGGTATCCACTAAGAAATCACTATAAAACGTTATGGGAGCCATGTAGGGGCTGCCCTGCCGCAGTGTGTCAATGTACAGCTACAAGAAGCTCAGTCTCCTCCTACAAGCACTCATATAAGCAGTGATGGGCTGAGGTGTGGGGAAGGTTTTGAAGCCAGTTTCCAGAGGACAAGTTTTACTTTTGGCTGCTGATTTGCCATCCCTCAGTGATCTTTGCCTTGGCATTTGGGGAACACAGGAGAACATTTATCCCCACCCATGTAGCCAATGTCCTCTGCATTCTGCCTGCCTGCTGAAGTATTTGGAACCTTTGAAATACCTGTGTCCTGAATTCCTAAGACCACCATCTATATTCATGCTTATACTGGAGGCATGACTGTTGGTGCCAGTCTTAAACTGTTCACAGCCAATCATTTTCTATTGTAAAGATGGATTTCTGTGCTGTGCAATGTCCTGCTTTCACTGGAGAGTAGAGTGAGCTGAACTCTTCTCAGAGGTACCCAGGAGGCAAGGTGTGCACTTCCTGTCAGCACAAGTGAGCTTGGGATCACTGCACTACCTGAGCCTTAGCACTTCCCAGAGGTTAGGTGACTTCTGTTTATTCTCTTCCCAGCTGGAGGGGAAAAGGAGAGGGAGCAGCTAGTAAGCTAAGTGGGTCTTAGAGGTGAATGCAAATATATTGGGATCTAGCCTGTCCAGTGACTGCTATTTTCTCTTTCACCTGCCTTATTCCTCTATCATGTACTCCTCAGATCAAGCTTATGACTAGATTGGAACAGTCATAGCTCACATCAGTTTTGTATTTGAACCCTTCTATTTGGGGGTTTGTAACTCAGCCACAGAGATCCCATCTGGGCTAAAAATGTGCAGGGTAACCGTGACCACCCTGTGAGTGGACTTATAAAATAGCTGATTTAAAATCAGAATCTGATCCATTTAATGAAAAATGACAAAAAGAAGAAAAAAAAAAAGAGGCAATTACGAATGGCAAAATAGAAGTGCATCTGCTGACTGCTTCAATTCCAAAAAGTGAAATTTGGTAAATGGTGGTCTGTGATGGTATTGGAGGGGGTTTTGCTTTGGGGTGATGTTGAGGGGTGGGGAGGTGTTTGTTTGCCTTTTGGTTGGGTTTTTTTGTTGTTCCCTCCCTCCCCCATTAGACAGAAAACTCCATTGGGATCTGTTAGGACATTACCCTGTTCAGGGCAGTGGCTGCACTTTCTGTGTCTCATCTGTCTGATAAAGGGAGCAGAAGTCATCACAGATAAAACATCCACGAACAGCAGACACATAAGTGTTGAAAGTGTTAAAACTTTCAAACTGCCATCAGTAAAGAGGAAACCTCTGCTGCAGCGTTAGCTGAGAGGCGTGAAGTCTGGACATTATTCTACATCTTGGGCTTAAAAAGGGCTTTTAAAGGCATGCATGAATGCATACAGTATCTGTGAAGCAGCCATCTACTTGCATGAAAGGAAAAGGATGTAGAATAAAGACTTTAAGAGTTTGTGCCTGATTTATTTGGAATCATGGGCCTAGAAATAATACAGTGCTAGAGGGAGATTTGGATGCTCATCCAGATTTGCCACGTCAGTGGATGCTTGGTACAGACTTCTAATGAGATTTAGCTTTGCTTGTGACTTGGGCTCAAGATTAGGCTTGCTTAACTAACTGTTGTGGGGTTTGGATCATGTTATTCCATTTGGAATGATTGCGTTTACATGGCTGTGTGAGCAGTCAAAACTCCTGCAGTACTGTGCTGTGGCACAGGAACAAGAAATGAGCTGTTTAAAAGTTATTCCTCCCAGGAAAGTGCAATAACTTGTAAATGGCAAGTTCAGTCCTTATAAAAGCAATTTGTTTAAAAGCTATTTTCAAATGAAGACACAAGTGTCTTTTGGTTTTAGTTATAGTCATTCACACTGCTTTATCCTTACAGTCACTTAGTTGGGCATATTTTACTCCTGGTATGAGTCTTTACAAACAGTGGCTGCATAGAAATGAGCATCCTATACTTTGTAAGGGAAACAAACAGTTCCTCTGAGTGCACTCAGTTGATTCATCTCTAACACAGGCCCACTACAGTGTCAACACCACTCGGGATCAGCTTCAGCTGTTCCAAAGGTGTCCATAAGTAATAGTACCACTGGATCTGGTCATTAGTGTATCATGTAAAGCCTCTGCAGACTAGGGATTAAATGGAATCTCAGAGGGATGGAGCACCTCTTGTGTGAAGACAGGCTGAGGGAGTTGGGATTGTTGGAGGAGACTCTGGAAAGACCTTATAGCAGCCTTTTGATACCTAAAGGGGGCTTTATGAGAAAGATGGGAACAAACCTTTTATCAGGGCCTGGAGGGATATGACAAGGGGTAATGGGTTTAAACTGAAAGATTCAGATTAGTTTTAAGGAAGAAATTCTTCATGATGAGAGTAATGAGACACTGGAAGAGGTTGCCCAGAGAGGTGGTAGCTGAAGGTCAGGTGTGACATGGCTCTGTGCAACCTGTTCTAAAGATGTCCCTGCTTATGGCAGGGGGGTTGGACTTAGGTGACCTTAAAAGGTCCCTTCCAACGCAAACCTTTCTGTGACTGTGAATCCTGTCAAGGGGTCAGCAAAGCAGGGAGTTGCTTTCTTGATGCAGACCAGGTTCTGCACCTGATCTCACACTTGGTCCAGTTTGCCATCACCCTTTTCTCATACAGCTCCCAATCAGCAAGTCAGAAACCTGTTTGCTTCTCAGCATGCCCTAGTGCCACAAGACCCTTTCACCACAGGAGCCTGCTGGTTTGGGTGGACTGCCTCAGCTGCTTTTTGTTTCTCTTGCAGTATGCACTTTATAAAAAGATGACGCAAGCTGCCATTCTGATCCAGAGCAAATTCCGAAGTTACTACGAGCAGAAGAAGTTCCAGCAGAGCCGCCGGGCCGCCATGCTCATCCAGCAGTACTACCGCAGCTACAAGGAATGTGGGAAGAGGAGGCAAAACCGTCGGGCAGCCACCATTGTACAGCAGAAACTCAGGTGAGCTCTTGGGCTCTTAGATGCCACCACTACCTTTATATGTTGTTTTGGCACTGCTCAGGGCTGTGCTGTAATACACAGATGGATATAGGATAATTACTCTTGCATTTAGCGTTATTCTCCCCAGTTTTGCCTACACTTCAGTGTTGGGTTTCTTGTGTTTAGAAGCAGTCTGCTTACCAAGAAGCAGGATCAAGCTGCTCGCAAGATTATGCGGTTTTTACGACGCTGCCGCCACAGGTATGGCACTATCTTCTGGTATCTGCCCTTCATTAGAGCAATGCAACAATGTTCAAGTGTGTCAGCAGTGAGTGCGGTGTAAAGGATAATAGAATCAGCTCATTACAGATCTGTTAATCAAATAACAAAGCCCAGCTGCTTCCAAGTGTCACTGACAACAATGGAATCTAACTTGGGGCTGTTGCTGAAGGAGAATCATGTTTAGATCCATTGCTGGTATGGTAAAAGAGCCCTGGTTCTGTTGGGCAGATGCAGAATAAGGAAACTTTGAGCAAAGCAAGACATATGACTTTGAAAGTTGGTCTTAAGGAAGTGTGGAAAAAAAAGGCTTATTGAATCATAGCTACAGCTTGTAAGTGCTGCACAAAGCAGTCATGGGATGTGGGAAAGTGCAAAGTGTGACAACGTCTGGTGTACACTGGAAAACCCTTCAGTTTGGTCTCCTGATCCTATGGTGAACACTCATCAAAGGCAGGTTCTTTTTAATGTGGATATGTGCCAGCAGAGCAGCAGATGAGGTAATTCATGTCAGCCACCCCACATATACCTCAGAATGGGAGCACAGACACAGACTTGAAGGTGAATCATCTCCTGCCAGCAGGGAACCTCTGCCAGCTTTGCCAGAGTGCTCCCATGTGGCAGCTAGCAGTACTCTGCTACAGGCAGGGCATTTGATGTTGCAGTGGAAGGATCCCATATATGATCAGGTTGCAAACAGGGACTTTGCCTAGACAATACAAATTCAAATGTTTCCAACTCTGCTCCCTCCATTCTCACCACACATGCATTTCATCCACTCAGGAACTGGTCAGACCTGATGCATTTTGAAGCGTGTCTAGTTCAGCCCAGTGATGTTTGAACAAGGAGAGCTCTGAGAGGCAGAGAGGCATGTGATAAACTTGATTTTAGACACAGAGTTGTTCCTTTTTGCAGGGTTGCAGAGCTGCAGCTTGCAGGAGGTCAGTGTAGCTCATGTTGTGGAAGGACTCCATACCTGCAGGTCCAGTGGGAAGTAACATGTGTGGACAAGAGAGAGGGCTTTATAGTTTCCAGGGCAGTTCCAAATGCACTTGAAACAGTCGCAGTTGTTCATGATGAAGCACGTGGCTTCTCGCTCTCAGCAGGGCATGTGGAAGAGACCAAAAGGATTTGTTGTGTCTGTTGGGCAGCATGTCCCACTGAAGCAGGCAGAGGCTCAGGACTTCTCTATCCTCTCAGACCTACTTGAGAGCCAGGCAGTCCCTGGGAAAGCCACATGCACTTTGCAATCCATGGAGGCTCTGGGGTCAACCTGCCAGAGGTTCTTCCAGCCCACTCTCACACACAAGCCCAGAGAATGCCTCACAATAGCTGTATCCCTGGGTTTCCCACCAGTTTCCAGGATGTGCCATGCACTTTAGCCATGCTCAGTTAAGTCTTCAGCTATCAAGTAACTTAGTCTCTTCCAGAGCTTAAATTGCCCATGATTCCAGCAGGTTTTCTTGCCTTCACCTCATTGCTTTCCTGTTTCTCAGCGTCTTCTTTGTAGAGAGAGATCCTCCTCATTTGCATCACTGAAGTTTGCAGGCAGGACCCTTCCCTTTGCTTGTTGTCTGTCATCTCCTCTCTCTTCAGCAGCTGTGCATCTCTGGGAGGTGGCTTTAGGTCTTGGGTGTGTATAGAAAGAAAATGAAAACTAAGGGGGCATCCATTCTCAGTAGGCTCTCTTGGCTTATGTCACACTGCACAGTATTTGAGTTTCCACAGTAGTAAAGTCCTGTCTGTGCCCATAGGCACTTTGTTAGTGGTTATGGTTATTTCGGAGCTCATCCATGGTTATTGGCTAGGATGCAGCAAAAGGAAAAGGTAACTTATTTCCACTGAAGATGTTAACTGTGTTTCAGGACAGCCTTGCCTTTCCTTCTGAAGTAACAATGATCACACATTTGTGGTCATGTGCCTTCTCCCAGCAGTTGTAACAAGAGCTTTATTCTTGGCTTTGAAGACAGATTGAAGTCTTTTGCTTGTGTAAATATCTGCAGAGGAAGAGAATAATACTGGAAGTGATAGGAACCTACTTATTCAAATAGAGCTTCTCTTGCTTTAGCATCTCAGCTGACTCTGACCTGTTTGCTTCCTCGCCCCCAGCCCAAGGGGGGGGAATCCAGGCACTTTCCCCAGCACAGCCATATCCTCTAGACCACCTGCACTCGTTCCTTTGCAAGCTTGGCTCTGCACCCCCTTTCTGGGCTGCCAATTTGTGGTGCATGTACACAGGGGTACCAGGTGGAAGATGAAGGAATTGCTTCCTTCTTACCTGCTCTCTTCAAGCATCCTGAACTTTCAGTGTCAATAATTGCATTTATTCCTTACTGCTTTTCTTGCTTACCTCCTTCTAAGGATAGAGTAATAAAACTTGGGATGTTAAGTAAGTTGAAATCCACCTCTATACAAGCCTCCTAATTATTTCTCTGCAGTCTACTGTGTGTGATGCTCACACAGGATGCTGGTGTGACTGGTGCTTAGGGTAACAGCCCCATGCACTGCTTGAGGAGTACTACTTGCTGGAATCCTACTGCAGACACCTCTTGAAACGCTCAAAATTAGCACACTGCTGCTATAGACAAGAAATTAAGAAAGCCACAGGCTCCATAAAGAAATACTTCAGCCATCCGAGCTCCTGAGCATCCAGGGGAAGCCGTAACAACTGACATCTAGTATTAAATGCCCTGTAGCATGAAGAAGGCACTGTGGAGCCACTTGTTAAAGCACAAATGCCTTGTCAGTACAAGGGATGGAAATGATGGATATTTTTGGAATATCTGAGGGAGTGAGAGAGAAGAGAGCATGCACAGGAGCATCGAGGGAAGAGGATCTTGTAGAGTTCTGTCAGCTGACAGACAGAGGTGGGGAGGGGGCTGTAAAAGCCACTTGCAGTCTGTTGTGAAGATAGTGAGCGAAAAGAAAAGACAGTCAATTCTTAGGAGTTCAGAAATTCAGCCATAAGAAAGAACAAGAGAGACACTGTTTAACCCAGGGGTTTGTCCACAGGCAGATTCTGTTGCTGGGCCTATAAATGGCTCTTACTAAGAGCTTATTCTGTAGCCTTTAGGCAAGATTTACTCAGGCTTTCCCCTGGCAACCATCTGGTTGGTTGGTTTTTTCTTATGTTAAATTAATCAAAGCCTACTTTCAGCCAGTGATGAGAGCACCTTTTCTGCGAGCACTTAGAACAGCTCAGATGGTCATCTTGTCCTGGTTTGCTTATAAGCTTTTTGGCACAAAGGCTCAGTGCACAGACTAGCGGTTTCTGTCAGCTTGAGGATCTAGGGCGTGCAGGCTTGTTGGTCTGGTGTTTTCTGAGCTCTTAGACTTAGGCTTGTTGCCTGATCAGACAGGGAGAGATCCTGTGGTCAGAACTCTCAGTAATGGATGCATAGACATTGAGAAACTTAGGAATGTAAGTTTTGGTTGAGTGTATTCTTAGAGAAGATACTTGGGCTCTAGTAGCTGAATATTATCAGGTGTCACGGAGACAAAAGCGGTCATTCATCATTTTGACAGTCAGAGCATGTATTGTTGTTTCCTTTTGGCTTTGAGAGAAATGATGTATTTGTCCATCTATGCTCATATTCCAGAAACTCTGGTGAAAAACATGCATTAGCCATAACATGGTATCAACATGACTTGTCACCAAAGTGGTGTTTGTTGAGAATGAGAAGCAGGAACTTCTCTGAGGAGAGCTTCACCCATCTTCCCATGGTGCCCGCTCCTATTGGGTGGCCCTTGACTAACTTTGAACCTCAAACTTGCCATTACACCTCCTGTGAGTTGAGCTGTCTCCAGGCATGCTGTCCTGTGTGAGACACAGTCAAAGGTTTGTGTATTTAATGGGTTTGGAAAGGCTCCACCTTGGTGATCCCCAGATGTGACACACGTAGGAAAATCCAAGAGCTCTGAAGTGGGTTTGGGTTTGCTGAGCTGAATCCATACATGGTCCATAGAGTCAGCTTTCACTGGGAAGGTAACCTCCTATGTCCTGTTCTTCCTCTGGCTCTTAGGAAGCTTCTCTGAGAGATAACGACACCATTGCTAGGCTGTGATTATGATCTGCTGTGTTTTTGTGGAGGAGCATTTGAAATAATATAGAAAACAAATGCTCACTGCAAGGGAGGACAGGATGCAGGTAGAAATGCCACAGGGATCGACAGTACTGGGCTTATTTTACTTGCTTACTACTTCCTGCCCTACAACACCTAAACACAGGACTGCTCTTCCCTGGTAAAGAGGAGGAGTCCAGTAGGCAGGAGCGGGAAGGGTTCTTTCTCTCCAGGCAAGCAGAAGTGTTGTCTCCTCCTCCTTGAAGTGAAGCTCTTGGTAAGGTACGGTTATTGCCATGTGTGTGCTAATAGCTCTTTGGTATTGTTTTGCAATCTGAAGCCCACTGGTGGACCATAGGCTGTACAAAAGGGTGAGTGTAGCTGCCTGCTAGCCAGTTCCTCTCTTCCATTTTAAATATTTTTGCTTTCTGCTTGCTTGCATGGGGCTGCAGCCAAGATATGCCAGTAAGTTTCACCTCCATTAATGATCTCAAACAGAATCCTGTATAAACTAACCCTACTGCAATGACTAACACTGCTGCTTTTGTAACAGGACAGAGCTCTGCAGTAGATGTTACCAGTGCATGAATGTGTGAAAAAGGACATGTATATTCATCATGGGCATGCTTAGGCAGCGTTGTCGGTGGGATATTGTTTCAGTATCCACAACGGCTGTTGGTGGACCTTGGAACTTACTGGGGTCTGCACTCACACACACTCTATGAGTAACGATGTCCCTTGTCGAGGGGCTGCAACAGCCTTCAGGCTAGAGTGTAGGAAGCTGCAGTACAGAGGCAGCCTACATTTAGAGTATTTGTTTGTGGGTATTTGTTTCTGCCTGAGCCAGGTTGAAGCAGAAGAGCTCTTCACACTGCTTTTCACTCCCTAAGGTGGTTAAGTACCAGCACTTGCCTTCTAGAAGTTGGTCTTCGGTAAGTTACACGTCTGGTTGCCTTACTAGGACCAGCTTCTGACAGCTGCTTCTCTCAGCTGTTTACATAGCAGGAAGGAAAACAAAAACCCTAAAATGAAGATGAAGCTGCTGTGACTGCGTTATAGTAAGTGCCACGTGAGCTTCTGTCAGGAGCTTCATTCTCAGCATACAGAGACTCCCTTTGCCTTTGTGCTCAGTCACATGAGTGGGCTGGTTTGCTGCCTGACAGCAGGGAGGGAATACTCCAAAGCATTCCCATAGCAGGTTGAAGGGAATGCCGAGGCTTTCAAGGCACACGCTTGAGTCGTCAGCAGGGCTGCTCGGTGCCATCCTGCACTTGCGAGGCTGTAGGACAGCAGGGTGTTTGTCAGCAGCTGCAGTCAGGAATAACACCGTTTGTGTGCTCATCACTACTGTTTCAACAAGGGGGGAGAGGCAGGGGAAGGGGTGACCTGGACTCCTGCTTCCAGGTAGCATTTAGAAAAGAAAACTGAGTTGCTGATCACAGGGGTTTGCTGACTTTGAATTGCACAGATGCCTTTTATGACTTAGGAGTAAGAGTATGAATCGGGCTAAAGCCTGCTCCTTTGTTAGGCTCAAAGAAGCAATAGCTGATGACATTTCTTAACTAACTCTGACTTTTGTGCTACCATTTTACCCCAGTTGCAGACACAGCAATGCTGTGAAGTTGTCAGCTGGAAAAAGAACAGCTCCAGGTCTTGGCACGTCTGATAATGTGCTTTACAACTAGCGCAGGTTTATTCAGGAATAATGGTGGACTAGCTAACTGGGTGACTTGGTTTTACTAGCCTCCTGCTTTGTGTATGACTAGGACGGATGAGTTTTGGTCTGCAGTTGTGTGTTTGGTTACAAAAAGCCTCTTGAAGAAAAAACATAATTTGTTTTTGAAAACTAAAATTCACTGTAAGTCACTTAGTCATTTGTATTAGAGCAGCCTTCCTCTGTTGTAAGGACAGAGTAAGTATCTACTTCGATATGAAGAGACGTTTGCAAGTTCAACCGTTTTTAGTCTTTGGGTCAGTCACTGTATCCATGGGACAGTAATGAATGCTGCATACAAATGACCACGTTTTAGTCATAGAATCATGGAATCAACCAGGTTGGAAAAGCCCTTTAAGCTCCTCCAGTCCAACCATTCCCCAGCACTGCCAAGGCCACCCCTAACCCATGGCACTGAGGCCTTGTCTCCATGGGGTGTGAACACTTGCAGGGCCAGTGCCTGCAGCCCTGCCCTGGGCAGCCTGTTCCAATGCCTGAGCACCTCTGGGGCAGGAATTGTTCCTCAGCTCCATCTAAACCTGCCCTGGTGCAGCTTGAGGCCGGTTCCTCTGGTCCCATCCCTTGTTCCTTGGGAGCAGAGCCCAGCCCCTCCTGGCTCCATCCTCCTGTCAGGCAGTTGGAGGCAGCCATCAGGTCCCCCCTGAGCCTTCTCTTCTCCATCTGAACCCCCCAGCTCCCTCAGCCCTTCCCCATCACCCTTGTGCTCCAGGCCCTGCACCAGCTCCATTGCCCTGCTCTGGCCCCGCTCCAGCCCCTCAATGTCTCTCTTGTAGTGAGGGCCAGAGCTGAACACAGGATTCAGCGTGCAGCCTCACCAGTGCCCAGTGAGGGCACTGACAGGCCAGTTCTCAGCACTGGAGGAGAAATAGTTGTAGCACGTTAAGGCTTTGTGTTTGTAACAACATGTGAGAAATCAGCAGGAAGCAGATTCTGGAAGTTCAGTAGTATTTGCAGGTTTTGCCTTAAGTGCCAAGTGTGGGATTGATTGGGAAATCACGGAATTCTCTGCTTACCTGCATGTTTGCAGGTAAGCTGTGAACTATCACTAAATGTCTTAGCTGCTGTTCTGCCCAACCAGCTCTATTACAGCAAAGAATCCTTTGCTGCTCCGCATCCTGATAGCAACCTATGTGCATATGCTGCTGGAGTATATGCACGTAAGTGTTTCTGATGGACACAAGCTGACGTGCATATATGCTGAAGGAACGTATGCAAGCACATGTCTCTCTGCAGTATACAGACTTGGTGAATTCTGTACACTGACACTGTGCTCAGGTAGTCTGTGCAGGGTCAGATAAATGATCACAGCATTTACTTCCATGTTTCAGTTTGAAAACCTCTTTTCAAATTGATTCCACTACTTTCAGTGTATATGGGATACATTACATCAGGATCAGGCAGGAGGGAGAGGTGGGAAATTTGTGTGAGACATTTGATGTAGGGCATGGACAGCCTTGAGCTGTGAGCCTCTCTGCTGTGCTCTTGGTAGGCAGATGATCTGCAGCCATGACAAGGAGCGAGTCTTCTCACATCATTAGGCCAGGCAGTGGCTCTCTGCCTACAGTGAAACTTCCCTCTGCTCTGGGGCAGAATAAGTGCCCTTGTTACCTGCAATCATAGTAATAAAGAACATATTAATTCACAGCATCTTTCATTTAAAATAGATTCCCTCACACCCACCCTGTTTCTTAATGGTTTGATTGAATGCTTCTCTCCAGTTTGGGGAGTGTGCATGTAGCACCTGAAGTCAGTTTCTCTGGTAAGTACAACTTTATTTCATACCTGAATAAAGAACATCTACTATATTTCATTGTTGCTTGCACACCCTTCCCTCTCAGTACTTCAGCAACAAACCCTTTCCTACTCCTGTGCACCCAGGACTTGTATTGTTTGTGTGTTTTAATGTGTGCTATGCAGAGGCCATTGCATTTGAGTACTTGGTTTCTTACAGCTCTTAGTGAGATTGAGAATGGGGGAGAACCTTAAGGGATTGAAAAGTCCCATTCGTTCGAGTTCAGGATGTGTGAGAAAATGTCATATTGGGGTATGTGTCACTGTACCTGCAACGAAAGGTTTCCAAGTAATTTCTTTCTTCATTTACCTCTTGCAGGGGCTGAATGTATTTGGAGCTCAAATGTATGTGTTAAATGGCAGACCGCATGCTTGGGGGTGTCATTCTTATTGGGCCTTTCTGTCTTTTTTGTTTTGCTGCCCAAATGAGGTATCTGGAAAAAGGCAAGAGCTCCCTTTTCTTAAATGTCCCACAGGCCATTTCAGCTCTCAGAGCAACAGGTAACTCGCCAGACAGCCGCCTCTGGCTCCTGCACCCTGTCCTCTATACGGATCTTCAGCATTCAGATTCATTAAACATTTCCCTGGCTGGGCATTATGGAGTGGGTTTGATGAAGCAGCTTTGTGTTACGCTTTACTCATAAAGCCATTGTTTGCTGTAACTTGGTCCAAGTAGGCCTAATTCATTCGCTGACACACTCCCATACGAGACTGGGGAGGGTGTGCTGGGAGAGGAGCTGCTGCTCGCTTCTGGGGCCGTTGCTTTCTACATTGCTTCAGCACATAATGATGCAAGCTCCTGTACGGTGTCCAAGTAAGTAACACACTTTGAAGGGCAGAAGCTTTGTCTGGCTGGAGCAATCTGGGAACCGGGACACAGCTCCCGAGCATCAGGGTTCAAAGCTCATTGTTGAAATCATCTTCTTTTCCCGTTCTATGTCAGCACCAGGGCTGTGATTCAGACAGCTTATCAGTGGTCATCTCTATTGCACGTGCTTTTTCCTTCCATCTGCTCTTCAGCAATTGCTGAGGGAAAGACTTTGTACCTTAGAGACGCTTAGTGTCTAGAGGAAACGTTATTTCAGGAGGCTTTTGTTGAAGGCTTCATCAGTGCACAACCAAATACGTGGTCCTTGCAGTTCTGTGCATGGTTTTAGTAGCTGCTGAAGTAGGACGGTGCTTCTTGTTGGGAGTCTTGCAACAGCCACAACCTGTTTCCCTTTCTGGGGCACTCTGGCTTGCAGACGTGTGTCACCTCCAGTCCCCATCCCACTGGAGGCACTTCCAGAAGTGATCCAACCCAGCACGAGTGCTGTGGGCCTCTGGAGAGGTTTGTGCCCAATCCATATAGTCTCACTGCAAGTCTGCCAAACTGGATTGAAACATCTTCTCTAAGCACATCCTTTCTGCTGTACCATCCTACAAATTCCAGTAGCGTCCCTTTTCTTAAAGCACTTTATTAATGCTGTAACTACAAGGGCTACACTTCAGCCCTCTTCCCCTGCCTGAATTTACGAGTGGAAGAATAGGAACCAGCGAAGATTCCTTCTAGCAGGAAGGCAGTGCCATATTGTTCACTTAAAAGCTCTCCTAGCAGCATTTACTCGGTGGATTTCTGTTTTCAAGGGTCCCAATTTGTCTAAAATTCTCCCCTGGTCAAAGTGTATTTTAATTGCATTTGAAAACCTAGTGGGTTTATTCCAGCAAACACTAATGAAGAGGAGATCTTAGCCCCAGTACAGTGGATGGTCATCTTGAAGCTGAGGCTGATAAATTCTGTGGAACGCAGGGTTTGTTTTAAGCCATCTTTCAGGAATGTACCCATGACAAATGTCAAAGTCTGTAACGCTGTTATAGGGCAATCCTGTACTAGTATGTGCCTGTGTTCTAAAGCAGTGATTATCATTGCACTTGCAACCTTTTTCAAAGGCTGAAAATCTGTAAACCAATGTAAAGCACACTTGAGCAAGGCAAGTGTGCGTGTTTCTGAATAGAATCTGTACTAGTGCAAATGTTGAGTGCTGTAGTCATGAACTTCTGTTGGCATGTGTGTTCCAGTTAAACAGATCTGATAGGTCTGCACCAGTACAGATACTGCATGCTGTAGGTTGAAGTTTGCAGCAAAGCATGTCTTGCATTCTTCCAGCAAAAGTGCTTTGTTAGCGTAGCTCTTGCATGTTGAAGTGCTAAACTAAGGTATAGCATGTGTCAGTGAAAGAGCTACCAGCTTATCTAACGTGCATGTTGTCAGTAAGAGATCTATAATAACAGGTTAATTTTACATTGCAGTGCTGAAGTGCAACAGAAAACACCTGGAAGTTGCACTGCAAATCATGCTTTAATTGATGGTGTCTTGAATGTAGCCTACCTAAGCCTTAAAAATTGCCTAGTGCACAGAGGCACACTGCTTTTTCCTAGCACTGCAGGGGCTTTGGCTCACCTTCTGCTTCTAAGTGGTGCAGTAACAGAAGTGTTAGTAATGATTTCAAGGTAGAAGCTGTTTTCCTGCTGCAAGAAACCTAAATATACTGCAGATGGTCAGTTGGTCATTTGTGAGCCTTTTCAGTTCACTGTGTTGGCTGTAATGAAAAGATGCTCTGGACTTACCCAGCAGGTAGCACCCTGATATGCATCACCCACTGGGAACAAGCAGGGGCTCACTGCTGCCTCTTTGCTATGCTGAAGCCCCAACTCCCCTCATGTCAGCAACATCTGCCAGCTTGTGTAGAGCCAGAATACCTCTGGAGAAAGCTGCTCTGTAAAGCTGTAGCAGGCATTTAGGCTCAGCACGGGGCTGCCCAAGGAGGAACCCAGAAGCAGTGATGCTGTCAGCTGCCTTGCCTCTTCCTCAGCCTGGGGACCAGAGCGCTTCTTGGCATCTGGGAGATGCCTCTGCACTGAGGCACCCCTCTGTTGGACTTGCTTTCAGAGGAGTATCATGGCTCCTTTTGGATGTAGGTCTTGCAGCTCTGAAAAGGGCATGTGCATTTGGACTAGCAGAGCCCTCTGTCTTTCCATACATGGTATTCTCAAACTGCTCAGTGGAATTCAGGTAATTAGCAAAGGTCTGACCTGCATATGCGTTAGTGCGATTTAGCCACTGATTCCTGTTTCCCCCAGTTTCACAGAGAACACCTCTGAGTGCTAGAGCTTTGAGTCAACTCAAACAAAGAGTTAGAAGCAGCCAGCTCCCTTTTGGTTGTGATTCTGAGTAATAGTATGTGCAGAAAACCTGATAAATAAAACAGTGAAGTGGAGATATATTTATAGGGAGATCAGTTTATAGCCCTCATCGTATCCTTATATTAGCAAGCTGGTGTAAGAGCCAAAGGAGGATGTGTGAGTGGAAGCCTACTACAGAAGCTATAAACTGACATTGCTGCTGCTTAGCTCTCCCAGCATCCTGTGCTATCTGTATTTACCTAGGCTTTGTTAAATTCATCACTCTTAGTTGGGTTCTGTTACACAGAGTTGCAGCTCTGGCACAGTTCTTTGTACCATACCTTTGCTGTTTGTCCTTTCAGGTTTCGCTGCATCAGTTGGGCATGTACGTGCTTTGTTAAATCACCTCCATTTAGGTCCTTTTGGGGGTCCTTCTCTCACAGTAGCAGGGGAAGGACATGTGGAGGCATGTGACAGAGAGGAGCTCCCTGCTGGGGGAGGCAGAGCCGAGCTGCTCCTTGCTGAGTCCAAATCCAAAGTCCCTGTGGATTTGCTCTGGCTCCTTTGCAGGGAGCCCTCACTGACACACAGAGGATTGCTGCTGCTCCAGCACCGATGCAGCTTCTGCTTTACTCGATGCGATTGAAATGATTCCCTTCTCTTCATCCTTTTAATTACTTCAGCTTTTAGGGATGGTTTAGTTCTTACCACTGACAAGTGCTAGAGGAGGTAATGTATTGCGTGCATTTTAAAGAGCTGAGAACTGAAGCGTTAGGCTACATTTAGGGAGAGTGACTCTTCCATGTTGTAGGCTCATCTCCCTCGTCACACAGTGTCCTTCACTGCTTGCTGGGGGAACCTGGGAATCTACAGCTAACACCATGCTAGAAAACACAGGCTCCAGCCACTAGCAGCAGCTGGAGGAAGTGTGAAGTAAATTGCCTTCACACCCATACCGGTTCTTCTACTCACACATAAACACTTTCTTATGTGAAATTGTGTATCGGGATCAATCTTCCCGTATGGCTGACTGATTTTCCCTACTGCACTGGGCACAGCATCGAGTTGGCACTGCTTCAGAGATGAGTGGAGACGAGCTCAGTGCTGAGCAGCCCCTTTGCCATAACAGCTGGAACAGCAGCAGGATCAGTTCAGGAGCCCCCACATGACTATAAACAGGCTAATTCCAGAGCAGAGTCTGACCAAGGTCAGGGACAAACAGGAGCTGGAAATAGGTATTTCCACATGCATTTGTGTCAGGTTTCTAGCGGCCCCTCTTGCGCTTCCAACTGTTTATGGTCTCAGGAACATCTCCCCCTCCTGTCATTCCTCTGGGAGCTGGCTCTTTTGCACGGGAGTTGAGAGTGAGGAATCATTTTGGTTTGTCTGTGTGGAACGAGGTTTGCAATGGAAGTGTTACATAGCTCCTCTTTGTTTTTTCAGAGTGAAAGAATTGAAAAAGGCCAAGGAACTTGAAGATACGCAGCAGCATCCCGTAGCAATGTGACATTGCTTTTCAGACTGTTTTCATTTTCTGTTTTTAGCAGAGACATGCAACAACAACAACAACAACAAAATACCCACTGCAGGTCTGGGAATACCAGCTGCAGGATTTTAACAGTAATGTTTTGGTCATTGCATTTGCACTTTCATGGACAACTTTTAATTTGTTCAGCAAGACATCTTGGAACTCAATCTTCTGTTGGATCATGGGGAAAAACAAAAGACACCAGGAGGAAATTGTGAGTTGCTTCATTCTCCGAGAAGGAAGAAGCGATTAATTATCCTTTTCATATAGGGCTGTATTAAACAACATGTGGAACTGTACAAATATTATACCAAAAATATTGTTAAGAAAAGGTGGGAATGCACAAGCAACACGAGAATGCTGTTCCTGCACCTGTCGGTCATCTCCAAGCAACTGAAGCTTTGAGAGTCTCAGTGGAGGGGCTTTAGATCAGTCCATCTTTATGGGGTCCATGCATCCTCATTTCCTTCGCACTTCTGTCCTTTGTGTTTTATTTAAATCTCTACAGCACACTTAATGCAACTTTTTTAATCTGCAGGTTTTTAATACATCCCGTGGGAACTTAGAGGAGGGGTTGGTGTGCGAGACAAACGGGTAACGCGAGGAACGGAGAGAGCAGCTTAAGCAAGTTTAAACACTTCTTGTTTTGTTCTTGTTTTACTAGAACCTGCAAACATATCAATTGTCATGTCCTTCCTCTCATGTTCAGCACTTTATTTTCTAGCCTTACTTTCATGGACTGTTGTTTTAATTCAGTTCTCCAAATGGGTTGTGAAACACGTAGCTTTTTATCTTGAGTACTCGTCAAACCTCTTGTCGTTTTGCAGTCACACATACGTTGCCTGGACATTTTATACCACCTAAAGATCAGAGTGGTGCTGCATTCTGGCCAGTAACTTTCTTATTTTGGCTACTTCATCAAAATCTGGGCAGTTTCTGTATATATAGAAGGTAGAAATGGAAAATGAGAAAAAAAAACTATTTGAAAGGGAATATATTGATTAATTACTAAATATTTTATTCACAAAGGGTCAATAACTTGGCAAGATAAAATTATTATTTGTATAGTTTTGTCTGAATGAACGAGCAGAGTGTGGATGTATTGTTTGTACATACTGTATATAATAAAACAAAGAGATATGTGCATGAACTCAAGACAAAGAAATGAACAAAGCAAAGCATTAGTGGCTATGGTCTGTACAATGAAACAAAAAAAAACTTTATTTCACTATAAAAATCTTTATTTTAAATGTTCTTTAGAAGAACATTTTTGCTAAAGCATGACTTAAATGGCAAAAAAAAAAAAAAGAGCTGCTGTATTTAGACTTAGGAAAAAAAAAAGGCAGAGCAACATTAATTAAAAAAAAAAAAAGGAAAAAAAGAGAAAAAAAAAAAAGGATCTGTTTACATTTGATTTTGGCTACCAGGACCTTGGGTTGGTTGGTTTCATTTCGTTCTTCCTTCCTCCTTCCTTCCCCCCCCCCCCCCCCCCGTCTTTTCTTTCTGGGTATATTTTATTTTGCCAATGGTGCCAAGTAATGTGAATGCTGATATCGCTTAAGAAAATTGAGTTACTTTTGCAAAGCAGATAATCATAAGAGTACAAAGAAACCTGTATCTAGCTTAACACCATACACTCACTCCAATAAAGAACACTTAGAATGAACATAAAACCTTAAAAAAAAAAGACAAAAAAAAAAGACAAAAAAAAATAGTACAAAAGTAGGAAATATGTTTCACACGTTCATCTCTCCTGCTGGAAGTCCGAAAATGTCATAAAATTGCACAAAAAATTAAAAAAAAAATTCAGTAAAACTTAAAAAAGATGCAAACTGATCTCGTAGGGGTGTCATGGTATATTATTGCTATTTCCACATAGTGAGGAGCCAAAGAAATTAGGTGGTTTGTAAATTGAACTACGCACTTAAAGCTGTCACTCACGCAGTTCTTGGCGATGGGAGCCAGGTTCTGATCTCCAATACACAGGAATGTAAGGGAAGGAACCTCTGAAGTGCGCGGCGTTGCGGTGGGTTCTGTCCGCGTGTCTGAGCTCAGAAGCTGCTCCCGTGCCTTGTTCTGCTCGTGGCAGTTGGCATGGACCGGTGTCAATTTGGGATGTTAGGTTTGGAATCGTTGTTCTTGCTTGATCCCGGCCACCAACGCAATGTGTAAATGCGAGGCTTGTTGTGAAGCCTGAAAATACTCACACACAAGAAGCTTTTAAACTGGTGTCTTTAAAAAGAAGAGTAAGAAACAAAGATTGTTGGGGGGGGGGAAAGGAAAACTGGGGTCAGTGCTCTTGGTGCCTTTTCTATAATTGTACCTGTTTTTAATTACTTCTTTTCACTGCCAGCATTGAATTACAGTAGATGTGCTCTAGCTCATTATCCGAATTCTCGTGTACATTTCTGAACTGCTGCTTTATGACCTGATTCAATTGGAAATGACAAGGAATTGGCCTGGTGCTCACACCTGCCTGTGGGCAGCCTCCGGCCTCCATTCACTGGGTGGAATTGGGACCTGAACCGCTAAATTCTCCTCTCACGCAAAAAGGGAACAGGAGACGCCGAAGAATTCCCTTTGGAATGAATTGGAAATGCTCTGTATTAATACTGGAAGAACTCGTTGACATTTTGAAAGCAAAATGTTGCTCCCATTCACCAATACGTGACAATATAGAATCGACCTTTTCCTGACAAGAGTAGTGACCTCAGTGGAAATGTTTGAACTCCCTGTCTTTACAGCAAAGTGTTCAGTAATATACAGAGCTATTTCAAATTACTCTTCCAGATCCATGGGCCTGGTGGTGTATCTACCAATCTAGATCCTGCTTCAGCCAAACCTGTAAGCGTGTACTTGCTGTTAAACATGCAAGCAATTCCATGGGCACACTGGAACTACTCGCATGCTTGGGGCTAAGTACGGCTTCGAAGTGCTTTGTTGTGTCGGGCCATAACCCTTCAGTGTACCACTGGGGAGTTAAAGACTCCCCTGCAGTGAAGTGATTCCGCTCACCCTTTTCTTGGTTGTGGAACTTAACGTTTTCATGGAAGATGAGTAAGTGCAGCTTTCCAGGAAAATTCGAATTCCCAAGTGCTAGGAGCCAGAGCTTCTGTCTTCTGATCATGGAATTGCTCCTTTGTGAAACACATTCGACAGCAGAAATACTGTGTGAAAGAAATACAGAATATAACATGAACCCCCTCTCTGGTTGCACGCTTATGGCAGTTCCACACAATAGCTGGTGCCCAATGGGGGGTCCCCAAGACTTGCATGTAAAACTAGTATAGATGTCTTCTCTTTTGTAAGTTTTATTTTTGTAACCGTGCATGTAAAGCATCACTGAATCAATGGATCTGTTGAAGAACTCAGCTGCTGGAACCATGCAAAATGTTTTGAATTGCCCTTAAAATATGGAAAATGTTTTCTGAATGCTTTATATTCTTTCTGCTGTAAATTAAAAACAAAGAAAATTTCCCCATACAAAGCGTGTGCCTTTCTGTAAGCACGTCCCTCGCATCCTGCTGAGTGCTGGAGTGTCCTGTAGACACTGTAACCGTGACAAAAGGGTGTTTCTTCTATTACATGACCTCTCGTAAGTACAGTCTAGTTTCTTATGGGTTGTAATCTGAACAGCCCACACCGTGCCCGCAAGCAGGGGAATGGGGGAAGAGAACTGAAGGGTGAACATGGATAGACATACCTGGGCTGAGATAAAGGCGGTTCAGTGAGCGATGGGGCGAAAGGAACGGGATAACGTAAGAGCAAGCGATGCAAAGGCGGTCGCACGGCACATCCCGGAGCCGAGCGTTCGCGGCGCTGCTGCACCGCTCCCAAGGGGCTGCCGCATGGAGCCGGGGTCCTGGGCGCATCAGTCCCGCACCGCACCCGTGTCCGCCCCGAGCAGGACCGGCCGCGGCCGGGGGGGGAGCGCCCCTTGCGGCGCGTACACAGCAGGGACCCGGGGCGCGGCGGGGCTGAACGGGGCGCGGGGAGGTGCCTGGCACGGCGGTAACAGCCCCACGAACACACACCCCCCCTCGTCCCGCGCGCCCAACGGCTGCGTAAGGTCCGGGGGCGTGGCTTATCAGGCTCCGCCCCTATGGGCTGGTCGCATGGCACGCCTTGCTTGGGGGCGTGGTCTCCATGCTCCGCCCCGACCGCGCCCGGGTGTGTCGTCATTTCCTGGGCGCTGCCGGCCTGCGCGCAGCAGAGGTTGGGTGCTGTCTGGGTGCTCCGAGCCGCCGGCAAGATGTGAGTGCGGGGCCGCGGCCCGGGGGGCTGCGGAGCGGCGCCGGGCCTGGCCGCGCCGAGCCGAGCCGCGCCGAGCCGAGCTGAGCCGAGCCGAGCCGAGCTGAGCTGAGGCGGCCGCGCCCGGGAGGGGGTGGCGGGAGCAGCCGCGGGCCTGTTGCGCAGCGCGGGGTAGGCCGGGGCCTCTGGTGGCTTCCGGGAGCGGCTGTGTGGGCGCTGCGGTGGCTGGAGGCCGGGCCCCGCCATCACCCGGTCCTCACGGCCTGAGGCGCGGCCCCGGTCTGTACCGGAGTGCTCGGCTCCCGCTCGGGCGGGCGGTGCCGTCCCGTCCCGGGGCTCTGTGGTGCCTGGGTGGAGTCCGGCCAGCCCCAGGCGGCTCTGAGAGCACTGGAAGCGCGTTCTGGTGCCTGGGTGGGGGCTGTGTTTGGACCCGCTGCGCTCAGGAAGAGGCTTCATTTCCGACCCTCCAGTCTGGGAGCAGCGGTGAAAGAGCGGCTTCAGTGCCAAAACAGAGGAGCGGTTGTATTGTGTTGTACGTGCGCTGCTTTTGAGCCTTGTCACAGGCTTCCTGGTTCCCTCGTGTGTGCGTGTGCGTGCGTTTATTCTTGCTAAATGTAACCTAGAAGTCAGCCTGTAAACGTAGCCAGTGCTCAGATTCGGCCCTTTCGAGTGTGCACTCAGCAGTAGGTGCTTCTGATGCAAGAGAAATGAAAATGTGGGAAAGCAAATTGAGTACAAATAAATCTGGAGGGATGCAACGAGCACGGTGAAAGTGGTGTGAGAGGCACATGCAGAGGTTCGTGCATCTGTTACAGAGATGCAGGGTGTTGTAGCTGGTAGAGACAAGTGGATGGCCTGAGCTCAGAGCTGAGCAGAGATCAGTTCTTGTCTATGCTGAATGCTTTTTCTTTCTTGTGCGTTCTCTTGTTCCGTGTTAACTGCTCAGAGGAGCAGACAGAGGCAAGCACTGTTAAGTGTATGTAGTCAGAATTACCGTTAAGCTTCTGTATTTAATATTTTGTAGATTTCTGTAGCTGAAAACTTGGGCCCTGTGAACCATTGTAGTTGTCACATGCGTTACTGCAAACCATAGTATTAACAATCCATGTGGGGCCGTCTTTCAGCATGTTGAGCAATTCAGTGGCAAGATGTCTGGGACCCTGCATGGCTTACACCTCTTCTCTGTTGTTAAAGCATCACTTCTCCAGCAGGAAACTGCCCCATATTTATTCCAAGGCTGCAAGTTCCCAATGGTCAGGAATGTCAGATAACTTGTGTACAATAAAGGTATTGACTTGAAACCAACACCACAGCCTGTCCAAAGGTGAACAGAATAATGGTGACTTTCTTTACTGCAGGTCAGCCAGCGTTCCTGGGGGCTCAAATGTGGCTGCTGGCAGTAACCGTCGTCTTCAGCAGACTCAACACCAAGTAGATGAGGTAAAAGTGTAGTCTGATATCAGCATAACTGTTTTACTTTCAGGGAACTGGTATAATTTACATTGGAGGGGATGTTTTGGGTGGTTTCCTCTTCATTATGTGAAGGAGAGGCCTGGCATCATTCAGCTTGCTTGGTTATACGCATGCCATCTTAACTCTTGCAAAGGTTAAAAAGGAAAACCCATTCAACTGGAGGAGAGGTGGAGCAAAGTTAACACAGTCAAGCATTAGCTGCAAATCTAATACTTGAGGATTTGGCATAAGTAAAGATAAAAACCTTTGTTCTTACAGAGAACAGGCTTGTCTCTCATCAATAGCAATGGAGGCTGACTGTCAAATATGACTGACACCTATGGATTTCTGCAGAGCCCAGAAGCCAGGCTGGCTACCAACAGTGGTGTTTGACGTGTGGTTGACTGTCATGTGTATATGCTTCACCTCCTTCTGATGGGGATCAGGAATTCTGCCCCATGTTCAAGGGAATGCCAGCACTCCTGGCATTTTAAAGTAGGCATTAGGGGCTTGCAGCACGCAGTTTTGTGTAAGCTTATGGCTGGGTTTACTAAAGGCAGTAGCTCCTACTTCTGAGAAAAGCACATGAAGAGTATTGTGTGTTGCTGCCTGTTGCCTGCAGTTGAGTTCCACACTGGTTGGTACAACTGATAACTTCAAGTATTAACTGATGCAGGTTGTTGACATCATGAGAGTGAACGTGGACAAGGTACTGGAGCGAGATCAGAAGCTGTCTGAGCTGGATGACCGTGCTGATGCGCTGCAGGCAGGAGCTTCCCAGTTTGAGACCAGTGCAGCCAAGCTGAAAAGAAAGTATTGGTGGAAGAACTGTAAGGTAACCATGGCTTGTCTACTATACAATACTGCAATGAAGGCTATTACTATTACAGTCATCTCAAAGGGCAGAAGTGGCTTTATCCAATGTTACTTAAGTTATGGCATCTGTTTTTTACAATGTGGCATGGTGGTTAGATAAAGTAACCAAAAGCTGGATTACCAGGGGTGCTGCTTGGTGCAAGACTGTATGATGTGGTAATGGCCAGGGGGAAACACCTCAGTAATGTGAGGCTTTGGGGAACAAGAAGAAGGCAGCCAAAAACGCATGGGTTGAGTAAAAGTGCAGGAGGTATTAGAAAGCAGAAAGAGCTCACTCTGACTTTGGAGCTGTTGGCAAAGGTTGGAATCATCTTCAGTGAGCAGCAAAGATGGTGAAAGAGACGGTATAGGGTGAGTGGAAATGGTGTTTAATAGTTCTTGACTTCTGCTTGTATGGTCACCTGAGCCAGGCTTTGCATGGAGGCACAGTGGAAAAGGACTTGCTCTGCTTTGCCTGTGTGCACAGCCTGCTTTAGAGTGCGACTTGAGCTTGCTTACTGAAGAAGTGTTACTTGCTGTGTTGGATCTAGCACTTGGTGCAAAAGTACCTTTCAGTGGCTGTGTTTTTGTACCCTGAAAGCCAGTTAATGCTGCTGCCTGCTTTGTAGTAAGTGTGTATGGCTTTTTTCACAGATGTGGGTGATATTGATAGCTGTTGTTGTCATGATCATCATCATCATTGTTGGTAAGTTTCACCAAAATGGGGATTTCTCATAGAGCTGGAATAGGTGGTGTTAATTCACTGATGGGTACAGCTTAGGTAAAGCCAGGATACTCAGCTGGAAGTATATAAACGTTAGTTTGAAATAGCAGTCAGTGGTGAACTGTGACCACTGTGGGGGCTCCAATAGCTGAATCTCAACCACTTGCACATTGAAAGGGGTGACAGTGAGAACAGCAAGGACTTGGAAAGCAGGAGCAGCCTTGGTTTTGTACAGCTGTGTGTTGCAGTAGTGTAAAGAGAAATACAATTTCCCTCCCTTGTCCAAGAACTGTTTTTTCATGTCCCCCAGCTTCTGGCTAGATAAATCCAGGGTGGCAGTTCCAAGGGTGCTGCTGTGGTGTTAGAGACTTTGCTGCTGAGTGCAGTGAGACTAATGCTGGGTCATGATAGCAGACCAGTGTTTGATCTGAATTCTCCTTGATCCCCAAGCATTTCATGGGAGGACAAAGTTTCTTTGTGCTGTAACACAGTAAGAAACACTGCAGTAACCATTGCCAACAGGTGTGTAGTCCTGGGTGAGAAATACTGGTGTGCAAGCACAAAGGAAAGCTAAAACTAGGAAAGCCACTGTGGGGCACTCTTAAATCTCTTTAGTTATCTCTAGTAGGAATCTCTTCACCTGCAGCACTGTCAGGGCTGAAGGAGACTGTCCTTTGTCCAACCTCTTTCTTCTTTTTATAGTCTGGAGCATATATTCATGAGTTACAGGAAGAAACTCGGATCCCCTGGAGGTGCCTTATCTTCAGCCTCTCCACTTGAAACCCGCTGCCTTTTTCAGCCCGTTTACTGCTGTTTAAAGCCAAACTGTTTTCATTACTGAGATGTTATCGCTAACTTCACCTTGTTGCCTTAAGACACTCCTGCCATTAATCACTAACAAGCACGGCCCGGCTCACGAGGTGCCTTGCCTGGCGCTGGGCTGGCCCCGCTCGGTGCCGGGCTCCGTATGCTGCCGTTACCGGGACCAAGCAGCGCGGGAGCCCGTTGGGGGGGGGGGGGGTTGGCACCGCCTACCGGGGAGGGGCGAGCGGTGCCGCACGTGGCGGCGGGGCAGGCGCGCGCACGGGGTCCGCGTGCGGCGGCGCGTGAGGGGCGGGGACGGACCCGCCCCGCCGGGTTCGCGCTGTCCAATAAAAGAGCGGCTCCGACCGTGGCTCCGCCTCCTCCTTCCCGCGGGGCACGCG